AGGGCTGGAGCCCCTCTACTGTGAGAACAGGCTGAGAGAGTTGGGGGGTTCAGCCTGGAGAAGAAAAGGCTGCAGGGAGATATTAGAGCCCCTTCCAGTCCCTCAAGGGGCTCCAGGAGAGATGGGGGGGGGGCTCTTGATCTGAGGAGTGGAACGATGAGACAAAAGGGACCATTCTAAACTGAAAAAGGGGAGATTTAGATGAGATCTCAGGAAGAACTGCTTTGCTGTGAGGGTGGTGAGAGCCTGGCCCAGGTTGCCCAGAGAAGCTGTGGCTGCCCCATCCCTGGAGGGGTTCACGACCAGGTTAGTTGGGGCTTGGAGCAACGTGGTCTGGTGGGAGGTGTCCCTGCCCAGGGCAGGGGGTTAGAACTTGATGATCTTTAAGGTCCCTTCCAGCCTAAAACGTTCTGTGATTCTATGAAATGTTTGAAAGAGAGATAAGGTGCTCTAGAGCTGAATGCTGTGACTGACAAAAAGGAGGAGGACAAAAATTGGGGAACTGGAAGACCAGAAGGGACTCTGGGATTATCTGCTCTGCCCTCCAGTGCCGCACAGAGCACAAGAATTTCCTGAAGCCTTTATTTCTCATTTGAAATAAAGCATAACTTTCTGAAAAGCATCCAGGCTTGGTTTAAAAAAAAAAATAAAAAATAAAAAATTGACAGTGATGGATAATCCACTACAACCCTTGGCAAATTGTTCTAGTGTTTAATTACCTTCACGGCCAGAAAGGAAAGCAAAGAAAAAGTACACAGTGTGAAGAGCTCTGAGGATTGTGTGGTTATTGCTGGTACCTGTTTGCTTACCGTGGTTTGCTCGCTGGGGTGACACAGGGCAAAGTGATGCTCCAGCGTCGGGGTCCCACTCACCACGGATCTCTGGAGCCTCGGGGAGGTCTTTGTGCAGGGTTTGTGCTGGGCATGGTCCTGGGGGACTGTCTGAGGGACTGTCCTTGGAGGGACGGCCCTGGGCTGGGAGTCCCCCATTTCACCCAGTAGTTGGTAGGTAGGGATGGGGCTGGTTGTCCCACAGTGTAGGACAACAATTGGTTTTGGATGTTGTGCTAGAGAAATAGTGGCTTCAAAGTTAGAAAAGAAATAAGGATCTTTTATCCCCAGGGCAAACTTTTGTATCAGTCTTTGGAGGAAGCAGCAGGAGGGAGTTGGGCCAGCACTGGGCTGAACGCTGGGCTGTTCTGCACTGGTTTGATTTGATCCGCAGAAGGGATGCTTTGGTGTAAGAGTTCTTTCCAGCCCAAACCATCTTCTCCTCCAGCCTGGGACCTTCTTCTGTGACTTCAGGCTTTTTTGCTGTGGTGGCCAGCAGACCCTCAGGGCTGTCTCTCACGACGGCTGGGCTGCCTTGCTGTGGTTGTGCTGTGGTTGACTGCAAAACTGCAGGGCTGGAGGACACCTTGGGGAGCCACACCATGTCCACAGTGGGGAACAGAACTGGCCAAGGAGACTGGGCACGGTCTGGAAAGGCCAGAGCCTGTTGCAAGAAAGAATTTGTCCAGAACCCAGAGGAGCAACAGGACTCCCTCATCCTTTACCGCTGTGGTAGGGAAGGGTGGTGGCTTGTGTTTGAAGAAGGTCATCCATCCCCCTGCTGCTCAGAAGTTGTTCAGCATCTCAAACAGATGCCCAAACAGTGATTGCCCTCCATGTTGGCAGCTTGGCAGCCTTCATAATTTATAGGAGCACCCAATCTCTTGGGCTTCGAGGTGGCTTCTTCCATTGGGTTTTCCTTCTGTCCTTCAAATAAGTCCCAGCCTTGTTGCTCTCCGGCTTCAGCTGAGATTTGCTCCCGTGCCACGAGCCCTGCAGTTCTGCACACGCATGGGTTGTCCCCACCAGCCTTCTTCTCCCTCCTCCTCCTCCTCCTCCTGTCCCTCCTCCTTTCCCGTGGGTCTCAGCAATCCCCTGGTGCCCGGCAGCTCCCGCTCGGCCGGCGCGGGGCACGTGGAGCACGGCGGGAAGGACATTACGTGGGAGAATATGCATGTTCACAGCTCAGAGGATTAAAGGCCCGTGTTCTTATCACTGCAGAACAGAGTATTATAAATCCAGCCTCAGAATACCAAATCCCCGCGCGGCTTGGCCATTGTTTGGGAATATTAAAAAGCTCGGAGACAGAAATAATCAGTTTCCGAATGACACATTGTCAAATAAAACATTTCTCATATTATCCCTTCCTTCCCCTTTCTCTCTCCCGCTCCCTCAGTTGGATAATTTAACATGAAAAATAGATTAAAATGAGGCTGGCTTGAATGCCTCCTAAGTTTGGCTCTTTTTTTTTTTTTTTTCCGTTTTTCCCCAGAAAGCTCTCCTGGCGTGTGTGTATCGTGGTTGAACAAGCGGCTGCCGGCGCGGGGTCAGGGATGGAAGGAGCATGTTGAAACTGAGCTGCTGACTGTGAGCCCACGAGTGCTCACACAGGGGCTGGCACGGGCACCCCCAGCCCTTCCCGGGCAGAGGAGGGACCTCTGGCTCGTCCCCAAAGGATGCGGGAGCCACGGCCGGGGTGGGCTGGGAGCCCTCGGCTTGTTTGAGCCAACCCTGTCATTCCCAAACTGGGGAGGGAACGGCGCTCTAATCATCTCTGTGCCTTTGCACCTTTCTGTAATTCCTCCCAAGGAGAGAGATCTTTAATTCAATATGTTGGTAGGTTTATCTGCTCCAAGCTGTTTCCCAGGCAGGCAGGTGGCCCTGGCACTGCCGTGGGTGCCCAGGCTCCTCGTGCAGGGCAGTCTCGGTCACCCTGGTCTTTTCCCAGCATCTGGGTTGTCTCTGGTTGTGTTTTTCCAGGGAGGGCGAGTGCCCGTGTGTGCCTGTGGGTGTGAAGATCTCCGCAGCCACTTTGCAGATGCAGAGAGAACCCAGGCATGAGCGATGTCCAGCCCAACAGCTCAGTGGCTTGATGGAGAGGGGCTTTGGAGAAGGCTTTTCCCAGTAGTCGTGTCCACGAGTGATGTTCTGAAACCCCTCTGTAAGGTGACAGCCCTTGCTCTGCTGAAAGGAATCTGGCACATGAGCTGGCCCTGATTTTGTAGTTTGTGGCTTGTTGTGTTGAAGTTTGTGGCCCTGCTGTGTCTTTGTCACCGCTCCTCCATTTTGGAGGGTCTGGTATGCTGTGGTTTCTCTCTAGAAAACTGGAATTTTCCAAGGAAACAGCCCCAGTTTGATGCTGGGTGCCTCACACCGGGAAGCTCCTGTGATACTTTGTGGTCTCTGTGTGTCAGGACCCTAAGAGACGTGTTTCTCCTCTTCCAGCTTGAGGTGTCCATGTTTTTTCTTGCTTCTGAGCATGGAAGCCATGAAGGGTCCTCATCCTTCATGTGGTAGAGCACTGGAACAGGCTGCCCAGAGAGGTGGTGGAGTTTCCTTCTCTGGAAACATTCAAAAACCGCCTGGACAAGATCCTGTGCAACCTGCTGTAGGTAGACCCACTCTTGTGGGGGGGTTGGACTTGATGATCTCCAGAGGTCCCTTCCAACCCCATATGATTCTATGATTCCATGATCCTGCTGGCCCTTTGGGTCTTCTGGTACCACAGGGCATGAACCTGGTCAGTCCAGTGAGCCCTGCCCTTCTCCCACGCAAAGATCCCTGAGCATCTCCTGGGTGGCCGAATTTAACCTCCTGAGCAGCCAGGGGTAGGGCTGGCTCTTCCCAGCCCAGATCCCTCGGGATGAGACACCAATTTCATGGACATACAGATATTTAGAAAAGTGGGGTTTTTTTTCTGTAAAGGTGGGTGGTTTTTTGTTCTTTGTTTTTTTTTTTTTTTTAAATTTTGGATGGTAAGGTAGTTGGGAGCTGCACTGAAAAAAATTGGGAGAGGAGGGGAAGAGGAGAGCTTTGTAGGGCAGGTTTTTGGTCTGGAATCTGTGGTGCTGTGCTCCCAGGTCTGCAGCTGAAGTCTTGTTGAAACCACGGGCAAATCTCAGCCCGCAATGGTGGCACTGGGGTAACTGGGCCCTGGGGAGCGGTGGTTCTGTGGTGCCATTTGTTGCACCGTCGTTGGTGTGAAATGTTGTGTGGCTCTGCTGAGGCTTTACTGCTCCCCTGACGGTGCCTGGGCTGTTTTAATGAGGTTTTTTCTCCTAAGTGGTGGGATGTGATTGCTTCCTTTCCCTTCTCCCAGTGCGGGGTGGGAGGAGGTGCTCACCCACCTTGGCCTCTGTGTGTGGGGGTGGGCTGGGGGGACCCAAGGGGTGCGTGGTAGGGACAATGTCTCTGGGAGAGTGGGTAAAATAACTTGGGCAGAGCTGAGCCGGGGTGGCACTGCACTGTTCCTGGCCAACAGCCATCTTTGGCACCCTGTTTCTGCCTGTGATGTCCTACCCCAGAGGTGGCTGCTCCATGAACTCGCCCATGTGCGGTTCATGGAAGGTTGATGAAAGGGTGGTCTGGGGATGGAAGAGGAGAGAGTCCATTGATGCTGGTTGCAGCATCCCCGGTCCATCCCTGTGCCCCCTGCATCCTGTGGTCCATCCCTGTGCCCCCTGCATCCCCTGGTCCATTCTGTGCCCCCTGCATCTCCTCGCCCTTGGTCCGTCCCTGTGCCCCCTGCATCCCCTGGTCCATTCTGTGCCCCCTGCATCTCCTCGCCCTTGGTCCGTCCCTGTGCCCCCTGCATCCCCTGGTCCGTCCCTGTGCCCCCTGCATCCCCTGGTCCATCCCTGTGCCCCTGCATCTCTTCACTCCTGGTCCATCCCTGTACCCCCAGCATCCCCTGGTCCATCCCTGTACCCCCAGCATCCCCTGGTCCATCCCTGTGCCCCCTGCGTCCCCTGGTCCATCCCTGTACCCCCTGCACCCCCTGGTCCATTCTGTGTCCCCTGCATCTCCTCACCCTTGGTCCATTCCTGTACCCTCTGCATCCTCTGGTCCATCCCTGTGCCCCCTGCATCTCCTCGCCCATGGTCCATCCCTGTGCCCCCTGCATCCCCTGGTCCATCCCTGCATCTCCTGACCCTTTTCTCTCCTCCACAGGGTGGGCTGATCGCGCTGCTCCTGCTCCTCTTGGTCTTCACGGTGGCCCTGTACGCCCAGCGGCGCTGGCACAAGCGCCGCCGCATCCCGCAGAAGAGCGCCAGCACCGAGGCCACCCACGAGATCCACTACATCCCCTCGGTGCTGCTGGGCCCCCAGGCCCGCGAGAGCTTCCGCAACTCGCGCCTCCAGGCCCACAACTCGGTCATCGGGGTGCCCATCCGCGAGACCCCCATCCTGGATGACTACGAGGACGAGGAGGAGGAGGAGACACCACGGCGGGCAGAGCCGAGCACCAGGGAGGATGAGTTTGGCAGCCAAGTGACACGGACGCTGGAGAGCCTGGGCCGGGGAGGGGAGGAGAAGCCTGACTATGAAAAGAAAGGTTTGTGGCTTTTCTCTCTCTTCTTTCCTTCTCCCCGTCTCCTGCCAGGGTGTCCTGTGCGGTGTCACCTAGAGAGGAGGGCTCATCCGTGCATAGCCCCTGTGGCTGGTGCTTGGCTCTCCAGGTTTTGGTCCTCAGTTGTCATCTACAAGAGGGTTTGCAGCCCTTGTCCTCAAGCTGCTCCTCCTGAGAGGAGGAATCACCTTTGGATGATGCTGGGGAAACTGAGGCACGGTAACTGTGAGCCCTCAGCTGTCATTGCCACCCCCCAGGACCAGGTCCCCTGGTCTCGTGGTGCTCCCTGAGTGCCCATCACTGGTGGTTCAGGTGCTGTAGGAGCGTGTGGGCCGTGTGCTTGGGAGCTCCATGGAGATATGGCTTCCTAAGATTTGACCCGTCTCCTTCGCCCCATCCTCTTCCAAAACCCATCTCCCGTTTCCAGCACAAGCTGATGAGATGGGAAGCCGATGGCTCTGCTTTCAGGCTTGGTGGTGTGTCTGGTCCCAGCAATGACAGAGACCTCTGTGAAACCCCTGGTGGGACAAGGGATGCCTTTGGGGAGCAGAGCTGGCATTTCCCCGGGGAGGGGAGTTTTGATTTTGCTGTGGGCTTGTGCAGTCCCTTGTTGGTGAACACCATGTTGGGGTTTACACCGACTTCTGGCCGTGGGTGAGTGCTGGCACACGGGCATCAATCAGGCCAGACTTTGCTCTCTGGGTGGCAGAAATGCTCGTTGCCTTGTCCTTGGGCAGGGCTCAGTTCTAGGGAGCGACGGTGCCGGTGCGCAGGCTGCTGAGCCTTGGTGCTCCTCCGGGAGCTGCTCCACAAAGCTGTATTTTCCATGAGCGACAAAGCATCCCCTGGGCTTTATTCTCCGAGCAATCAGGCAAATGATCCTGTAGTCACCCGCAAACAAAGTCATCAGGGCTGTGGGTTTCAGGCAGGCACGGAGGAGCCCCGTGTGGGGAGGTGGAAACGGCAGATGGGAAAATTCTCCTTGTGGGAAGGAGCTCAGAGCTGAATCCGTGTGGATCCGATGGACAGACCCAGAGCCAGGATGTGAACCATCACGCGGTGCTTGGCACAGCAGGTACAGCCTTGTGTAGCATCTGTAGGTCAGGTTAGAAACAAACCCATATGTGCAGGTTCCATAAATGTATGTTCCTCTGTAATTCCATAAGTGCTTGTGTCCCTTTGGTGCTGGTTGCTGGGATGGTATAATACTGGGTGACGCTGGTGCTGTAAGGTATAAATCCCCTGCCAGTAGCTGTGGGGAGCTGGGCTGGGGTGCCTGTTCCTGGGCAGATGAGGTGCTGTGGATGCTTTGTGCCTTCCCTGAAGGTGCTGGGCTGGGGTTTGGAGGAGCTCTGGTCCCTTTGGGTTCCCCTTCCCCAGACCTTCCCAGCTCAGAAAGAAAGTAGTGGTGGGGTTCTTCTGAGAAAAGGGGTCCAACACAGAATCATAGAATGGTTTGGGTTGGAAGAGATCTGAAAGATCATCAAGTTCTAACCCTCTGCCCTGGGCAGGGACACCTCCCACCAGACCAGGTTGCTCAAAGCCTCGTCCAACCTGGCCTTGAACACATTGGCACAGCGAGTAGCCAAAGGTTGGGCATAATAGGACAGTCAGGGTTCTCTGGGGTCCCAGTATACATGATGGCACCCATTTCTGGCTGTATGAGGTGTGGGGGAGCAGGGGGGGAGCCCATAGAGCCGGGGCTTGGCAGCAGGGGAGGCACCTTAGCTGCTGTCAGCCTGTACAGCTTCATCTGGGATGGGAGGAGAGACCAAACCATGGGTGACGGGAGCTGGTGGTGTCCCTTAATGCACTGCTGGGAGGCACCTGAGCTGCAGGAGGAGGCCAGGGCGAGAGCCTGTATGAAGCTGTCTTGTCTGGCTGCTCTTTATTTAGTTGTTCTCTTAACTGCGGGCAAACCCATGCTGCTGGACCGTGTTGTCCTGCTGGACCGTGTTGTCCTGCTCTCTGCATTTGGAGAACCATGGCCGAGAGGGGCCAGGCAGGGTCTGGGCTGCACGGGGACCACTGCGTGACTCGGGGGGGATGTTCCTCCCGCCCAGAGAAGAGCAGTGCTTTCCCCAGAGGCTTTTTTGGCTAATGCACACTCGATTGCCTGCATTTTTAAAGCCTGTCTCTCCGAAGCTGCAACACCCACCTCTGCTTATTGAGCTGTTATTAGGAGCCATTTAATATTGCTCACCTGCAACGCACGGTGAAATGCATTTGAATAAACAAAAGCAAAGTACATTAGTGCTAATTGCTGAGTGGCTCCAGCAGGAGTGAGGAGGGGATACGCTGGCTCCCTCTGAGCAGGGAAGGGGCTCTTGGGGTGACATTGGACCCTCCCTCCCTTCTTCCCATCAGCATCTGGGATTCCCATAAAGACTGAGCGGTCCCTGTCGGAGCACCCATGGTGATAGTGCTGGGGGACAGGGATGGTACAGGGACAAGGATGACAGGGACTCTCCTGGGCTCCATGGAGGAGACTCTGCAGCTCTGAGTATTGGAGCTGGTGAAAGCCCTGATGATGCATCACGTCTGGAAAGCTTCCTGCAGAGCTGGAAAGCTCTGGTCAGAAGTAGTGGCTGAGGTTGTGTTTCTTCTGCCCTTAAGGTGCTTTTTACTCTTTCCTCTTTAAAGCAAGGTTATTACAACGATGATACATATATATATCTCATTTCTCAAACAAATGTGGAGGTGCCCAGGGGCCCATCTGCCATCCTCAAGAGCTGATCAGAGCATCCCTGTTGGCATCCCCCTTTGTGTAGGGTTGGATGTTACCAGTCCACGGTGTTAAGAGATGTTTCCCCAATCCTCTGCTCGGTGAGAATGAACAAATGAAAACCTTCATATTTCGTAACTGAGCTGCCTTTTTTTTTTTTCTTTCATATTCTCTTCTTTGTTTTGCTTTTCTATAAATTATTTAGAGTTGCGCGAGTGGGGAAGACAGCAGTAACTGCATTTCAGTCCTCTTCAAAACATAGTAGTAAACAAGATCTAGGGCAGAATATTAAACTATCCGAGGGCTTCAGGAATTGGCAATAAAAAACTTCTTATACTGCCTGAAAAATCCCCCCATGCTGGGGTTGCGGGGCCGGGGCTACCCCAGGCTGTGAGATCTGATCACAAATGCTCCCACCAGTTCAGCTTGTGATGCCATTGGGCTCTGCACCTTGGATCCAGGCAGGTTTGTGCCTTGCCTGGGCTTATCCTTCCAAACCGTGCTGGTTCCTCCTGTGTTTACTCCCAGATGGACGTTCTCAGATGAGGCTTTGCTGAAGGAGTCATGCTAATAGATAGTATGTGCTGATTGCTCCTCTCTGCTGAAGCTGGCCAGAGCCTGGGTTGCCAAGGATGATGCAGCTGCAGGTCAAAGCGAGGATTTTTACACCAGAAAAATACATGTGCTGTGGGTTTTGTGCTCCGACCTGGTTTGCAGACGCCTGGGAAAGGTGGTGTTTTAGGGGGTGGAGGATGTTGTGTGCACACAGAGGTGTGGACCTGCCGACGGGCGACAGATGCTGCCAGGATTCCCTCGGGGCCGTGGCAGGTGGGGTGAGAAACTCCACAGTTGGTATGAGCAGACACCGACGTACCTGGAGAGAGATCCCCAGGGGCTGGAAATCCGTTCTGCTGGGTTTTACAAGTGGATCGAAGATGGGTGCATCAAGGCAAACCCAGCTGGAGTGTGGCCCTGGTTCGAGGACGGGGTCAGCCATCCCCCCTTGGTGCTGCCTGGCCGGAGCCACCGGGTTTTGGTGTGGTGACCCGGGGCTGGGTGAGGAGCGGTGACCGCATCCCGGGGATTCCATCGGCGCTCGAGGGAAAAGCTCTCCTTGTCGCTCCGGCAGCGCAGCGTTGTGATAAGACATCAGCTGGGACTTGTCAGCGGGCTCCAAACGGTATCATCGCAGGGGCTGTCACTAGAGGCTCTTTCAAGTGTCACTTTCCCAGCATTAATTACCAGGGATGGCAAATCCAATGAAGATGGAGCGTTTCGGCTCGCCCTCCACCTGCCTGCGCCGCTCGCCTTCCCCGTGTGCCGGGCAGTGATTGATTTGGGTACCAGAAAGAAATTCTTTGCTGTGAGGGGGGTGAGAGCCTGGCCCAGGTTGCCCAGAGAAGCTGTGGCTGCCCCATCCCTGGAGAGGTTCAAGGCCAGGTTGGAGGGGGCTTGGAGCAACCTGGTCTGGTGGGAGGTGTCCCTGCCCAGGGCAGGGGGTTGGAATTGGATGATCTTTAAGGTCCCTTCCAACTCTGACCCTTCTATGATTTGCAGGTGCTGGGTCAAGCTGGCAGCAGGTGCTTCCCATCACTGGGGTGCAGGTGCCAGGTCGAGCTGGCAGCAGGTGCTTCCCATCACTGGGGATCACTGCATTCCCTGCTCTTGGACTTCTTTGCCCTTTCCACGAGAGAGAGTGTGGGTTTTTTATTCCCCACGTGGAGCTTCTGGATGGATCAGGTCAAGCAGGAGTTGCCTGACATGACTTTACTGAGTCCAGCCCTTTAAAATGGGAGAGAAGTCCCTGCCCAGGACGTTGAGCAGCACAAATATTGTGCAAATTGTGGGCGAGCAGAGCACGGATCAAGGAGCCAAACTTTCCTCCCGAGTCTCAGGCAGTGATGTGGCTGGGAAGGATGCTCCCGCACGGTGCCGGAGCATCTGAAGTGGAGCCCAGCACAAAGAAAACACGGGAGCAATGTGCTGAATAATGACATCTAGGAACAAGCTCGTCTGAGTGATAAAGTTAATGAAATTACAGGTTCTGACCTGATACCAGGCTCTGCTGTGGGTAGATAAACAGCAGGGCAAAGATGAGATGTTTATTTCTCCCTAGCTGCAGCTGAAATCTGGATGCGCTGCGCGGGGCCATTAACATTATTACTGTTATGCAAAAACATTTTTGACTTGGGGGAAAAGAGGAAAAAAAAAAAAGGAAAGAAAGAAAGAAAAAAATAAATCCCCCAAGTCCCTAGAAAAT